CCAAACCGCGGCGTCGACAGATGTATCCGAGGCTTCGGGCGATCACGCACAAACGTGTGTTGCAAGAGCGTCCTCGGAGGTGCTTCAGGGAAGGAGTCGCTGTGCCAATGCCGTCTGCGTGTCCCTGTCGCTGGGCAAATTGGGCGCTTGCGACGTCGTCGTCATGGCGACTTCAGGCTCCATCTTGACCCCCGATGGGACTCGAACGCTCCATTTCTAGCGGTAGCCTCTCTTGATCTTTGTCGCCGGTGGCACCCCGCTCCCTCCTGAGGCATCTACGTGCGGTTGTCCGTCGATGAGGATCGCTGGAAGCGAAAAAGGGCGGGAGAACGCCGTCCACCTGCAGGTCTAGTGGGCAGTCGTCCAGTGCCGCCTCCGACGCTCCATCTCGGGGTCCTGTAGCGGAATCTTGGCGTCTCGCAGCTGAACGTGGTTGACAGCCACACCCGGCGGCAATGCCGTGAGGAGAGTTGGGGGCTACGGGACAAACGACACCATCCCAGCGCCAGTTCTAGTAGCACTGCGTTATCGACAACAAATGCGCTGTTGCGGCGGTTGTGCGGGACGTGGTCGTCGGGTGGGTACACGACGGACAGCGAGTCCAACTTCATGCCCGGTGCGTCCCGAGGTCAGCGCGTCAAGTAGCACAGGCGGTCAGCAGCAGCAGATGCGTCGACACACAGGCGCTGAGCGTGTGACGACTCCAACGACGCTGGACTTGGAGAGTGAGGGGCGAACTGGCAGGCTGGACTTGACCGCAGCGTGCACAGTATCACGGGCAGCCACGCGCCGTAAACGATGGGTACGGCCAGCACATGTGTACCACCGTCGTCCGAGGCGTGGAAACCGGAAGAACGGAGCGTGGTCAGCCAGGGACACTTGGGATCGAGCTTGCAAAATCGGAAATGAGCTCCGATGCGAGAAGGTCATTGTGATTCGGAGCAAGCCGAGCAAGCCGACCAAACAACAGTGGATCGATTTGAACTAATTCCGCCAATCACACTTCTTGTTGAACTTTGGCAGCCAATCACTGTCATCGATTTTTCGGAGACAGGTTTTGATTGGTCAAAGCGAAGACATGGGAAAAAATGTCAGCGCGGGAAAGCTTGAAAAGATCAACCAAAGCAAAATGGGCACCAAAAAGGCGAGCCTTTACATGTTGTGTAAACCACTTCAAATACCAATAGCCTATTTATGTGACATTATGTATCGCGACCGCTCTACCCGTTCTCCATCGCCGAAACGCCCTACCATCGGCATTCCCCCAATCATGGTCTTGATGGACCTGGTCGGAAACGTCTCCGCCGTCGGCGACACGGATGCGATGGTGGCGGGCGACTCGGACAGCAAGCACAACGGCGGCCGCAGCGCCGCCGTGTGTGCCGTCAACAGCATGGTCTCGGAGGCTTCCGCGGCGACCGTGGCCGTGTTGGATGTGATCGGGGGCGTCTCCGCTGGCATGGTCACGAACGCGACGGTGGCATTCGGCTCGGGCAGCGAGCGCAACGACAGCGGCAGTCCGCACGCAGGTTGCCGCCGGTAGTAGCGTCAGCGGCGTCGCCAGCGACATCGACAGCAGGTTTTCAGGCGCGATGGAGGTGACTCTGACCTTGGGGGATGCGGTCAGAGCTACGATGTCCGTGCAAGACGTTGATGTAGATGTGTACAATGGCTGATATATGTTATTGGCTCTACAGGTAATGAACAGTGGGATGAACATGTCTGACAAACGAAGTATATTGAATGTCCCTTTCCATTCTGCGCGAGGTACTTAGATGTAGGGCTCTACAACCCTGGTGTACCAGTATGCGTGATGAAGCTGGGAAGACCAAGACACTTGAACGTCGATACGCTGTCGGAGCGTCCAGACAGAACAGAAGTTGCGCGGGCAGGTTGGGCGGTGCCGGCCGCAAATTGTTGCCATGACAACGACGTGGACCAAACCTGCTGCTGAAGATGCAAAGTCCTCCAGCGCCGCAAAACTTGTAGGCTCGAAAACGATATTGTTCGCAAATAAAACACTGCCCCCGTCAATATCCTCGCGTACGGCTGGGCTCATCGCTCTGAGGTCGGCCTCGTGAATCGTGACCTTGGATAAATTCGGGAAATCCACGCGTGCGCCACGAATCAGCAGTTTGGACATGTTTGCCAAGTTGTCCTGGAACTCAATCCCGATGCATCTCCCAACACAAGTCTCCAATGCCACTTGTGCAACCACGTTGCCGATCCCAGATCCAAAGTCAACAAAAGTTTCGGCGATTGTAAGCGTTGGAATGACTGCCAGTATTGCTGAAACCCCAGTTGGCGAAATCTCACCAGCATGACAATCCGGCGCATGGACGGGTTGACGCAAGGCCGAGGCATACAAACTTGACACAGCGTCATGAACGTTGCCAACATTATCGGGAGCGCTCATGGCAACAATTTGCGGCCGGCACCGCCCAACCTGCCCGCGCAACTTCTGTTCTGTCTGGACGCTCCGACAGCGTATCGACGTTCAAGTGTCTTGGTCTTCCCAGCTTCATCACGCATACTGGTACACCAGGGTTGTAGAGCCCTACATCTAAGTACCTCGCGCAGAATGGAAAGGGACATTCAATATACTTCGTTTGTCAGACATGTTCATCCCACTGTTCATTACCTGTAGAGCCAATAACATATATCAGCCATTGTACACATCTACATCAACGTCTTGCACGGACATCGTAGCTCTGACCGCATCCCCCAAGGTCAGAGTCACCTCCATCGCGCCTGAAAACCTGCTGTCGATGTCGCTGGCGACGCCGCTGACGCTACTACCGGCGGCAACCTGCGTGCGGACTGCCGCTGTCGTTGCGCTCGCTGCCCGAGCCGAATGCCACCGTCGCGTTCGTGACCATGCCAGCGGAGACGCCCCCGATCACATCCAACACGGCCACGGTCGCCGCGGAAGCCTCCGAGACCATGCTGTTGACGGCACACACGGCGGCGCTGCGGCCGCCGTTGTGCTTGCTGCCCGAGTCGCCCGCCACCATCGCATCCGTGTCGCCGACGGCGGAGACGTTTCCGACCAGGTCCATCAAGACCATGATTGGGGGAATGCCGATGGTAGGGCGTTTCGGCGAGGGAGAACGGGTAGAGCGGTCGCGATACATAATGTCACATAAATAGACTATTGGTATTTGAAGTGGTTTACACAACATGTAAAGGCTCGCCTTTTTGGTGCCCATTTTGCTTTGGTTGATCTTTTCAAGCTTTCCCGCGCTGACATTTTTTTCCATGTCTTCGCTTTGACCAATCAAAACCTGTCTCCGAAAAATCGATGACAGTGATTGGCTGCCAAAGTTCAACAAGAAGTGTGATTGGTGGAATTAGTTCAAATCGATCCACTGTTGTTTGGTCGGCTTGATCGGCTTGCTCCGAATCAAAATGACCTTCTCGCATCGGAGCTCATTTCCGATTTTGCAAGCTCGATCCCAAGTGTCCCTGGCTGACCACGCTCCGTTATTCCGGTTTCCACGCCTCGAACGACGGTGGTACACATGTGCTGGCCGTACCCATCGTTTACGGCGCGTGGCTGCCCGTGATACTATGCACGCTGCGGTCAAGTCCAGCCTGCCAGTTCGCCCCTCACTCTCCAAGTCCAGCGTCGTTGGAGTCGCCACACGCTCAGCTCCTGTGTGTCGACGCATCTGCTGCTGCCGACCGCCTGTGCTACTTGACGCGCTGACCTCGGGACGCACCGGGCATGAAGTTGGACTCGCTGTCCGTCGTGTACCCACCCGACGACCACGTCCCGCACAACCGCCGCAACAGCGCATTTGTTGTCGATAACGCAGTGCTACTAGAACTGGCGCTGGGATGGTGTCGTTTGTCCCGTAGCCCCCAACTCTCCTCACGGCATTGCCGCCGGGTGTGGCTGTCAACCACGTTCAGCTGCGAGACGCCGAGATTCCGCTACAGGACCCCGAGATGGAGCGTCGGAGGCGGCACTGGACGACTGCCCACTAGACCTGCAGGTGGACGGCGTTCTCCCGCCCTTTTTCGCTTCCAGCGATCCTCATCGACGGACAACCGCACGTAGATGCCTCAGGAGGGAGCGGGGTGCCACCGGCGACAAAGATCAAGAGAGGCTACCGCTAGAAATGGAGCGTTCGAGTCCCATCGGGGGTCAAGATGGAGCCTGAAGTCGCCATGACGACGACGTCGCAAGCGCCCAATTTGCCCAGCGACAGGGACACGCAGGCGGCATTGGCACTTGGCAGCAGTGTATCTACGATGGGCGTCACCACTGTCGCCGTGTACCGTAGTTCGGACCGTCACTATGGGGCTTGCATGGGTCAACGTAACTGTGGAGACGATACCGAAGCCGCTACAGCACTTACATTTGGTAGCAATACTGGAGTAAATCTAAGTACCGTATGTTACCGTTGAACGCTTTGAGTACTCGTACTATTCATGACTCTGTGTAATTACACTGTATTCATCCCGCACTCGATATCCGATGCATTTTGCACGGTACCTTGTCAGCACAGCTACGCTGCATTCCGCATGGCGGGCATTGAACCTGCACCGGTGGGTTCAAACTCCACCATACTAACATCACATACAACGATGAGTCGAACCACCCCATACAAAGCCTAGTACGTTCGGTCCCTTTGAACACTTCGAACATGGCCATACAAATAACAATATATTCGGTCCAATGGCTCAAGCGAGACCGATGCATGCAAACCAGTTAGAGATCTTTGCCGTGAAGGAGCCACTGGTACGCTAGCTGAGCTCGTCCACCACCACATACCCAATGCCACGAAAGCGGAAGCAGCGGTCGAGCACCTGCGAGCCCACAGCTAAGCGACAACAATCACGACGCTCGGGTCGTATCTCACCTTCAGCTCCCACCAGTCTAGGTACGATCCGTTGCTTACCTAGCGCTCGAGCAAGGTATCATATTAACGCGTATCCACCGGCATACAGACCTCGCGGATGACCATGCGATGTTTGGATCTGTTTGGCGAGTTCTAAGTGCGGCTGGTTGGAGTTCAAAGCGTCCAACAGGGCGAAGCTTGAGTGATCTGTACCGCTATATCCCTCCCGGTGGTGACTCGAATGGAACAGAGGGTATCGACTATTATCTGGGTGAACGAGCGCTTTTGGAGCACTATCGGCGGACATTGGTAGTGGAGGATGGTGATACGGATGGTGCCCTGTCCAAGCGACCCGATGACGAAATTGATGTCGACCAAAACAACGTTAATATATGTGGGGCTGGCGATGTTGGTCTCAACGCGGCAGATGATGTACGTGGTAGTAGCGGCGGAGTTCCTGGAGCGAGTGCAAACGACGTTGATTGTGAGAAAGCCGCGCTTCCGGGAGTAAGCTGTCACGAATTGGTGTTTGATGGTGCTGCCAGCACCTCTCAGGATTATGATGGTGCTGCCTCTGCTGTTCTACACCGCCAACATCAGCGCGCGTCGTACCCGTACATGCAGCAGCTACGCGAGAACATTTACTCCAGCTAGATCACCACGCACCCACCGCATCGTCTGGTACATGTGCGCAATGTGCAGTCTGCAATATGGAGTGTTCAACCGAGCGCAGTTGTACCTGGTGCAAAAAATTTCTCCATCACTTCTGCTCTCATGATGTCTGCGTTTCGTTGAATATCCCAGACCCTAATGGTGGATTCGCCAAGGATTTCGGTGATAGCAGCTATTGCAGCACGCTTTGCTACACAAACGCTACAAAAATGAACTTGGTGGACCAAGGGAGAAGTGATGAACGACCCAATGCCCTACTTGACCTCCCCGCGAGTGTTTTGACGCCAAGTGTGGCTCCGTCGGAACCTGCAGAGACCAACGCCGCCACACCTCCTGCTACAAATTGCTCGGGGGCAGCAAAACCTTTAAGCGAAAAAAGCGTGGTCCTGCCGAACAATCAGCTCCAAAGGCACCCCGAAGCGAAAACCAAGCTGCGCAACGGAAAACGAAAAGCAAGAAGGCACCTACCAAGGCCAGCAAACCCAAGGCTGTGGCAATGAAAGAAGAGTTGATTCGCCGAGCACATGCGGCTGCCGAAAAATTTGTTGATGCTAGCGTAGCATTTTCACCGGCTGATGAGGAGTGGATGCCGCTCAGTTTGTAACGCGACGTTGGCGCAGCATTTTTGATTGGTGTGGTGACTCGCTACAGCCTGGCAAGCGAAAAAAATGCTGACAATGTTAGCGTTCCTCACGACAAATTTCAGGTTCAATGGACGTGTACTGCTTTTCAAATAAAAGATCACGTTCACCACGTTTCCGAAGCCATCATCACCCGTGGTATCCGCCAGTTTGCCAACATGGAAAAAGACAAACTTCAATTTGGAGAGTCTTGGACGTCCCTGTGCAACATGGTCCCCAAACTATCAAACATTCCTGCACTGACAGATGAATTTGAGGAGATGGACGAGCGTGGTTATCGTGAGTGGTTTGCGTTTCGCGGGCGGAAAGAATTGCAGCGCCCTTTGTGCCCTGGTGAAGTCGAAGAGATAGCGTCAATGACATTTTCACCCACAGCATCGCTTGGCCAACCGTCAGGGCTATTTACACATCCGGATGGGTCTTCAACTACCAGACTACGCCCGGAAAGTCATGGGTTGTTTGGGCATTCAGCAACCTCATCGTTCTTCGCGTTTATTCCGTTGTCGTTCTGGATCCAAGTGGTCGTCTTTACCAACGAGTATGCAGACGCATCTGGCAGCCCATCGGCAACTCCTGTAAGTTTAGAGGAACTGATGAAATTCCTTGGGATCCTCTGGTACATGACTCTGTTCGACAAGGGTGAGATGAGAAATTACTGGGTGGACGACGGGGAAGCAACTATTTTTTCCTGGAGCGCGTACTACTAGTTTGAAGTCAATTATGACATGGCGAAGATTCCTGTACATCCGTAAGAATTTGAGTTTTCGTTCCAAGGTGTCTACCTCCGACATCAAGCGCGGTCCTGTAGCTAGAATACGACCACTCATGAGCATTCTGAAATCGCGATGCCTGCGCCATGTTGAAGTCGGTCGAAACGTGGCTGTTGATGAGGCCACAATTGCCTGCCGATCCCAGTATGCCCGCCACATTATAGTCTTCAACACACAAAAACCCACCGGAAAGTATCATTTCAAGTTATACGTGTGTTGCTGTTCTACCTCGTGGTACGCGGTGAGTTTCAAGTTGCACTGCTCCAGTGAACTTGATGATCGGCTGGACGGTGTAATTTCACGCTCAGAAGTGCAGAAATTCGCTGATCTAACCGCGAAGTCGTCTGAAATCCGCTCTCACGTCATGGCGGTTACTTCATCTTTGAAAGGATCCAGTCGCATTGTAAACAGGGACAACTTCTACACTTCCTGTTTGCTGTTGAAGACTTTACGATCGATTGGTCTCTATGGGCGTGGCACTGTACGCACATCTAGCAAGCATTTCCCTCATTTTACGATGATTCGTAAGGAGGACGCGAAGCCGCGAGGCTACATGAAGCAAGGTGTATGCTTAGAGAAGCATATTGTCGCAGCTAGTTGGGTGGATGGCTCAATTGTCAATGTCGTGTCTAATGCCGATGCTTCGACCACATCAACTGTGCATCGTCGTATAAATGAATCGGGTGTGGCTTTCACTGCTCCTACTTGCGTCGGCGAGTATAATTCAGCGATGCAAGGTGTTGATCGGCTCGACCAACTGCGTGCACGATTTTCTCTAGCCGATGGCCACTCATTTCAGAAGTGGCATAAAAAACTAGCGATGGTCATGCTTGATATAGCCAGGTGCGATGCCTACATTTGCGATAGTTTGGCGCGTGGTGAGAGCGAGGAGTCTCGTTCGACGGGAGGTACAGCCCAAACGAGGTCAAGAGCCCGCGATAGTCATCGCGCATTTGTGGCATCACTGGTTCGAGAACTGTTCAATGGGGACTGGAAGAAATCTCTGGATAGGGAACATGGAATGGTGTATGCTGCGAAGCCGACAACGACAACAATGCCGATGACGACCCAAACCGCGGCGTCGACAGATGTATCCGAGTCTTCGGGCGATCACGCACAAACGTGTGTTGCAAGAGCGGCCTCGGAGGTGCTTCAGGGAAGGAGTCGCTCAATGCGGAAATGCACTGTGTGCAAGTTCGAGGGCAGAGATCCTTCCGAGAAAACCGACTACTGCGAGACCCATCGAGTTGCGTTGTGCAAGCGCACATACCCTGTTGACCCTACGAAGCAACATCTGTGCCAACAGCAAACTTGGACTTGCTGGCAGAAATACCATTTGTTTTACTTGCCGAAGCAAGTGTACACTGTCGACGGCAACTTGCGACGAACCTCTCCAATTTATGTAGCTAACCGTCCATTTCTGAAGGCCCGCCAAGACCAAAAGAAGGCTAACGCAGCCACCAAGGCGTAACCTCACATCATTTTTTCAAGATAGTCAAAGTCAACTAACCATTTATACTTCACTGCAATAAGTCACACCTATTCCATCTGCCCCCGCTAGTCTTGATGCCGTAAATGCGGATTTAGCTCGTGGCTGACAACATACTGCTTTACCACTGGTGCACCATAGCGGCAAGCTAACCACACTCCGCTGCGTATAATCCGACAGGATGCTATTAGAAATTCCACGCGCCTCCAAGCCGAACAATAACTCCCAACTGTGTATATGTCAGCGAAGACGCCTCAGACCACATCCAGCACGGCCACGTTCGCCACCACCACATCTGAGGTCATGCTGCTGACGGCGCTGCCACGGCCGCTGCCCTCGCTGCCCGAGTCGCCCGCTACCATTGCGTCCGACTCCATGCTGACGAAGTTGCCTCCGATCTCCTCCCGTACGGACACGATCTCTACAAAGGACGTCACGCTGTTGATGCCGCTGACGGTACTGCTGGCACCTCTACAACGGTCTCCTTCCGCACTGTCGATGCATTTGCGCACGCTGTCTGGTCACCGGTCACATCCTTGCCAACCTCCGTGCCGGTGGAGGCACCCACGACCACCTCCAGCACGACAACGGTCACGCCCAAAGCGTCCGTGGTCATGATGTTGCCGGCGCACACACGGCGCTGCGACCGCCGTTATGCTTGCTGCCCGAGTCCCCCGCCACCATCGCGTCCGTGTCCGTGTCCATGTCGGCGGAGACGCCCCTGACCGCGTCCTCCAAGGCCACGGTCACCTCCATCGTGTCCGAGACCCTGCTGCCGATGTCGCTGGCGGCACTGCTACCGCTACTTCCGGCGGCGACCTGTGTGCGGCTGCCGCTGGCGTTGTGCTCGACGATCGCATCCGTGCCCCTGGGGACACAATAGTGTTGATAGATATACTACAGAAGACACAATAGCGTGGGGTTTTACCTATCCCTCGTAGCTGTATGATTGGTCATAAACGGCGAGGAAACTGCCGTGGCTCAGAAAATTGCTGTTTCAGTTATCTTGCTACTACATTACCAGTAAAAAGATACTTGATGTATCATTCTGGTAACGATAGGATTAAGCTATCTATCGTTTTTTTGTGAGCCCCGGAGGTTGCTGGGGTCGACAAATTGTTTCAGATAATTCATCATAGGAAGATTTTTCTTCGCCAATGGCTGATCGGCTCTCGTCGACGAACGCAGCCAAAGTGTCGGAGTCCAACTCGCTGGATATGTCCACCTGCAAAGCAGCACAGCAGTACACAGTCAGCAAAGTGGCAGTAGTATCATGGCGGCGGTGGCGAGAATGGGGGCATGCCTGCTACCGTCTTACCCCGTACCAGACGCCCAGGCATTGAAATAAAGTAGAACGCCTACTAGGCGGTCTATCCGAATACAACGCCTAGGCGTTCTAATAGTGTGAAAAACTAAAACTCGGAGGCCCTGGTGTCCATAACGTATATATCGCCGCGATACTCTACTTTCACATCGTTCGTATTGCGTCAAAAACGCAGTAGGAAAACGTCGAGAAATCCTGCAGTTGTCGAGTACTACAAGCAGCGCGCGACGCCCGGCGGCCTCATCATCGCCGAGGCCACCAACATCACGCCCACGGACCGCGGATCCTGGGGCTCCCCTGACATCTTCGCGCCCCAGCAGATCGAGGCTTGGCGCCACGTGACCAAGGCCGTGCACGGCAAGATGTTCCTGCAGTTGTCGGACAACCGCTCGGCCGCGGAGAACGCCCTCAAAGCGGGCTTCGACGGCGTCGAGCTGCACGCCGCCAACGGCTACTTGCTGGAGCAGTTCCTGCACGACGGCATCAACGACCGCGCCGACCAGTACGGCGGCAGCGTCGAGAACCGCGCGCGCTTCCTGTTCGAGGCACTGGAGGCCATCCTCGAGAGTCTGGACTCGTCCAAGGTGGGCATCCGACTGTCCCCGTTCGGCGGCAGCTTCGGCGACAAGGACTCGGACCCCATCGCCACGTACACGTACGTGCTGAACAGGCTCAACAACTACGACCTGGCCTACGCGCGCGTGGCTACCACGTGCGCAACCCGCTGGCACCCGAGAAGGGCTCGGCGCGGCAGTTCCGCGAGACGTACAAGGGCGTGCTCCTCGCCGCGTCGGGCTTCGACCGGCAGTCGGCCGTGCAGATCGTGGAGGAGGGCGCGGCCGACGCCGTGGCCATCGGCCGCCACTTCATCTCGAACCCGGACCTGGTGCGGCGCTTCCAACTCAACAAGCCCGTGAACGACTACGACACGGACACGTTCTACCTCGGCGACGCGCGCGGGTACACGGACTATAATACCCGTTCCTGCAGGACGAGTAGGTAGAGCAGTAAAGACGACGTAGACAGCAAAAGACGTGCTACTTCCGTAAGAACTGCAAGGTGAAGCGTACTGGAGGTGGCTGCGTACTCTCAAGTAAAACAAATTGTTGGTAGTTAAAACTACCGGTAGTTGCTGCAGGCACCAGGCACGTACTGTTACTGCCTCGGTGTGGGCTTGGGCGTCTTGTTGGATCACTTGGCGCGTTTAGTGGGACGGCCTTCTTCACCCTCTTGGTTTTCACGTGCTCGTTTCTTGGATGTTTCCGTCTCGCCACCTTGATCGCCTAGTGGCCCTCACCACTGCCACCAACGTCACTCTCAGCGTCACTCTTCTTCCTTGTCACCCGGCGCGTACGCTAGTGCTTTACGGGCGTTCTGCAACAACTTGTCGCGCGTCGCGGTAAGCGACAACTTTGCATACGAACTAACGTCCTTGTTTCGTTTTTCATCTTCATCGCGATAGTCCAGGTCGCCCTCCACAAGCCCCAGCGGGTCATACTGAGACTCCACCATGTTTGATAGCATGGAAGCCACGCCGTCGCTCAGGAACGGGTAGGTGACCCTGTTGAGCAAACGGAGGCAGATCGTGAAAACAGGATCCTCCTCCGAGACACTCGACACACTTGAGACGCCAGGATTGCTCTCGATCTTCGCCCGCTTCTTCGCCTGACTCCCGATCGTCTGACTCTCCTCCTTCACCTCAGAGGCGTTGCCTTTCTTCTTGGGCTTAAGATTGTCTTTCATTGTCGTGGCATAGATGAACTTGCCGTCACGCGTTCTACCGCGCACATTCATGTAGATGCGAATGGTATCACGGACATCCGTGGAGCTCAGCGGTTTCGGATCCCTACCAATTTCATCAGTAGATTTCCCCGCTGACGAGTTCCCATCACTGTTCTTTCCGAACACAAACCAGGGGCATAGTTTCTCCGTCGCTGCCCTAGAAAACCCACCATCGACTGGGAAACGATTCTTCACTTGAATCAACATCATCAACACCTCATGCCCCTCCTGCTCACCCCTCGTTGTCTCCCCACCGACTGGCCTGCTGTTGGATCTCTTCTTAAACATCGGGATCAACAAATCGGCTCCATACTGGTTACGGGGGAAAATACCTGCAGCTTGACGCCCCAGCAAAAACCAAAGCGTGTCCTCATTCGGCTCAAGCTGCAACTGCACAAAGTGGGTGAACCCCATGTACCAACCATCCCACTTCGAGCACCACTTGTTCAATTCTGGTCTCTTATCTTCCGCGTTGTACATCCCCTTACAATATATCGGTCTCTCCTTGTTGCCTTGCAGCACGTCCAAGAAATCCTGCACCGGTACAAATTGCCCGATCGTGTGGTAGCACTGGGAAAAGCTTTTGTCCCCCATCACACACGTGTCCATCGCCAGAAGCAGCAAAATCCGAGCAACCATCTCGCCAATTTCGCCAACTCCACCGGTGTCTAATGCTTCATCCAAAAGGAGGTTCTTGAGTTGCGGCAGGATATACTTTGCCAGACCATGTTTCAGTTCATACCACACTTTCATCGCTCCTAAGGCGAGCACTGGGTCCGAAGCGTAGCTGGTGACGTAACCTTCTCGCTTGAAATTCACATACGCGAGAATCGCCATGAAGTCGGCAGTCGCCCGAGATGCCAGAGCCGACGTTGAATGCGGGCGCACGCCCAGACGGCAAAGCATGGAGGCGACACCAAGCATGGTATCCTTGTTGTACGCATTTTGCGAAGGGGGAATCCCCAGTAGCAGCTTGTTCGCCGCAAGATTGATCACATCTTCTCTATCCGCAGGATTGGGGCAAGTGCTGTACCACATCGGACGCCCCATGCGGCACAACGCGTGCCAAGCTTGACTCGCATCCCCGGTAACGATTCTCTTGTACATAGCTATCTTAGCACGTTCTTGCTGTTTCTTCTTCTCTTCGTCTTTTTCAGCTCCCACCGCAACCTGAGTTTCCTCTTCCATTTCTTCATCTTCTGCTCCCGCATCTAGTATTTCCTCTTTCATTTCTTCATCGACATCTTGGATGTCCTCTTTCATTTCTTCATCTTCGCCGGCTGGGTTTTCTTCACAGTATTGATCCCAGTGTGCGTCCATTGTCTCAGCTAACACAACTGGCGCAAACGATGCCAACTCTCCATCGAAAAGCCGAGATGATGGGTCCAACAACAGCGGAGGCGCCAGGTCCGAGATCCTGGAGTTCGTATCAATCAGCACGCCGAAAATGCATCCACGATGGCCGATATCTTTGTTCACGGATCTGAGAGCATTTCGCAACATTCGGAAGTCATTCTTCTTGCCTCCCTTCTCAGCCAGCAGACTTCTCGCTTCATCGATCACCAGAACCACGATTCTGCCATTTGGATTCTTCTCGGTGGAGGTATCCCCCTCCAGCGTGTCTGTTTCATCCGAAAGTTTCGCCTTTACAGAGGTGTCCGCTGCCTGTTCGGTAAACAGCTTCAGCCATTCCTTCTGAACGTCCGCCCAATGCTTGTTCGCGTAGACGTAAATTGTCTTCAATCGACTGGCGATGTCTTCCACTTTGGAGCCTTCTTGAAACAGCCAACCACGAAGCTCGCTCGTAGCCTTGGGAAACCCCGTCGACTCGTGCACACGGGCACACATGTACAGGACTTTCATGTTCAAGGCGCTCTTTTGAGCCTCAATCGCGAGTTCACGCACCATCCGACTCTTGCCGAAGCCAGAACTCTGCACGACCGCCACACATGGCGCCTTGTACTTTGTGGGGGTGTAGGCCTTCCAGCAGTCCCGCAGATACTGTGCGAGGTCGAGGTGGGCTTCGCCGAGGTACCGGCCCTTGGTGAACGCCTCCGCGATTCGCTCCATTTCATTTTCATCCAACTTGGGCGTGCCGGAGCGGGCTTCAGGGACAAACTTTGCCAGGAGGTCTTTCACCGTCTTGGCCGCAATAGTTTGTGCAAGAGGTCGAGACACGCGTGTATGCCCGTATGCGTCTCTGATCTTCACCCATATCAATCCATGTATATCTTGCTGGGAGGCCTCGAGTTGGAGTGTGGCTTTGTTGGGATAGTCTTCCAGCATCCACGCAACGAAAAGATTTTTCTTCGGCGATGCGTCTGCTCCAAGCTTCCCGCTCATCTGAGCAAAGACACTGTCGTCCACGAACGCGGCCAAAGCCTGGGGATCCAACTGGCTGGACATGTCCATCTGCAGCAGCACAGCAGTACACAGTCAGCAATGCGGCAGTAGTATCATGACGACGTTGGCAAGGGCGCGGGCATGCCTGCTAGTCCCGGTGGGCGGTGGCGCTACTTGGAGGGGAAATGTGGAAATGGCCGGTTGGATTTTTCTTCCCTCAGTTTTGTACCAGAAACACGGTACCGCATCTACGTGATATACAGTGCGCGCCGAAATTATAACCGCACCCCAAAAATTATTTTTTTAAACCAATGATTGTGCTTTCGGCGCCAAACCGCTGCTTATGATTCGTCTAAAATCGATAGAAAATAGATGCAACAATCAGAATCGAAAAAGCTGTAACCGTTTTTTTGCAATGGACGAAAAACCGACTTTGGGTCGGGTCAAAATTATAGCCGCACCCGGTAAGCTATCGGTAAGATTGGTGGAGAGCTGTTTCAAGCGTAATAAATGAACTAACTCCATTGAACAGCTCGAATAACGCCTACCGGTACAGTAAAGTGCGTCGATAAGGAACGCCTGATATACATTGAAAGAAAAAGGTATATTGATAATTAAAGGTTTGACTCGTCACATGCAGACAGCAAATGCACTGATTTACTGCACTATGTAGTTCATGTCGGACTTCGCGACCAGAGTCTCGGCTTGAGCCCACGCAGCCAACTCAGCATAGGTAGCACCCGGTAGATCATGACGGCGATGACAGATTAGCAGCGACTGAAGCTTGGTCAGACGTAGCCGCCTCTGGAACGGTCTGGAAGTGGCGGTCACCATGGGAGTTGTGAGCAGCAGAGCGAAAGTTGGTTAATGAGGCATGCAGACATGTACCTGGCGCGATTCCCGCGCTCACAGCGATCCTCATGCTCATGATTCCCTCTCGCGACCTTTAGGTTCCATTTCCCCCGACTTGGGAGCCGCTCCATCCAGCCGCTCTTGAGGCTCGGTTTCGGAACTGTGATTGGCGGAATGTTAAACGGGACCGAATGATTGGTAGAATCATATAACTAATTCAGTACAATTGGCACACAATGGGTACAAGCGAGGATTCATGTCTTGTCGTAGAATATAAAATGTCGCCCGTTCCTTATCGACGCACTTCACTGTAGTAAGCTGCTCAAATAAGGTTAAGCTGACGCGGTTGATAAGATTCAATGGAGACACGCACTATCTTGAATTTGTATAGAAGAGTGGTGTTTGACAGTGTGGAGAGGTCTATACTCGTAAGTTGAGGCTGTCAGCTGACTAGTGTCTTCATTGGCGTCTATTCAACATGGTAGCGATGCTGGGCTTGCTCAGTTCAGCAACATGTACCAGAAAACTCGATCGATTTTTTTCCGGGTCAATACAAATCCTTTATACTTGATGTTTGTATTGGAAAGCACCGCCAAACCCAGTCACAAATTTCAATCAAGTCTAGTCAGTCCCGTACAGTGCGTAGTTTGGTAAATACATGGCTACGTATCAAAAGTAGAGTATTTCTTCTTGAAAATAATGCCCGAGTTGCTTCCAGAATCCTCCTAGTGTTGTCTCGGAAGTCCGGCCAAATTGCCACCAAGTGTTTAGTGCGCTTTATGGTATTAATAAATGTGCGAACAATAACTTCGGCGATGCGGTACATACCATAGGTAAGATACGACCACACGGGCCGCATCGGCCCCAGCCGGGCGGCGTCCTGCCCGTGTCGTCCAGCTCCAAGCTCGAGAACATCCGCGCCGGCAAGAAGATCGTCACGCGCGAAGGACGCATGGAGCCCGTGCCGACGCGCGCGCTCGAGACGAGCGAGATCCCGGGCATCGTGGCGGACTACCGCTCGGCCGCGGAGAACGCTCTCAAAGCGGGCTTCGACGGCGTCGAGCTGCACGCCGCCAACGGCTACTTGCTGGAGCAGTTCCTGCACGACGGCATCAACGACCGCGCCGACCAGTACGGCGGCAGCGTCGAGAACCGCGCGCGCTTCCTGTTCGAGGCACTGGAGGCCATCCTCGAGAGTCTGGACTCGTCCAAGGTGGGCATCCGACTGTCCCCGTTCGGCGGCAGCTTCGGCGACAAGGACTCGGACCCCGTCGCCACCTACACGTACGTGCTGAACAGGCTCAACAACTACGACCTGGCCTACGCGCACCTGATCGAGCCGCGTGGCTACCACGTGCGTGACCCGCTGGCACCCGAGAAGGGCTCGGCGCGGCAGTTCCGCGAGACGTACAAGGGCGTGCTCCTCGCCGCGTCGGGCTTCGACCGGCAGTCGGCCGTGCAGATCGTGGAGGAGGGCGCGGCCGACGCCGTGGCCATCGGCCGCCACTTCATCTCGAACCCGGACCTGGTGCGGCGCTTCCAACTCAACAAGCCCGTGAACGACTACGACACGGACACGTTCTACCTCGGCGACGCGCGCGGGTGCACGGACTATAATACCCGTTCCTGCAGGACGAGTAGGTAGAGCAGTAAAGACGACGTAGACAGCAAAAGACGTGCTACTTCCGTAAGACTGCAAGGTGAAGCGTACTGGAGGTGGCTGCGTACTCTCAAGTAAAACAAATTGTTGGTAGTTAAAACTAGTTGCTGCAGGCACCAGGCACGTACTGTTACTGCCTCGGTGTGGGCTTGGGCGTCTTGTTGGATCACTTGGCGCGTTTAGTGGGACGGCTTCTTCACCCTCTTGGTTTTCACGTGCTCGTTTCTTGGATGTTTCCGTCTCGCCACCTTGATCGCCTAGTGGCCCTCACCACTGCCACCAACGTCACTCTCATCGTCACTCTTCTTCCTTGTCACCCGGCGCGTACGCTAGTGCTTTACGGGCGTTCTGCAACAACTTGTCGCGCGTTGCGGTAAGCGACAACTTTGCATACGAACTAACGTCCTTGTTTCGTTTTTCATCTTCATCGCGATAGTCCAGGTCGCCCTCCACAAGCCCCAGCGGGTCATACTGAGACTCCACCATGTTTGATAGCATGGAAGCCACGTCCTCGCTCAGGAACGGGTAGGTGACCCTGTTGAGCAAACGGAGGCAGATCGTGAAAACAGGCTCCTCCTCCGAGACACTCGACACACTTGAGACGCCAGGATTGCTCTCGATCTTCGCCCGCTTCTTCGCCTGACTCCCGATCGTCTGACTCTCCTCCTTCACCTCAGAGGCGTTGCCTTTCTTCTTGGGCTTAAGATTGTCTTTCATTGTCGTGGCATAGATGAACTTGCCGTCACTCTTCCGACCGCGCAC